TAGTATACATATATCTATACATACATTTACAGAGATATATATATATATATATATATACATCGGAGGTGAGGGGGTGAGATCGAAGTGGAACGGAGAGCCCCCCTACCGGGAAATCGATTTCGGTTTCGTGTTCGTGCGTGCCGTGCGTGCGGGCGAGGCGAAGCTGCGTGGGCGGGCGAGAAGAAAGTCTCCTGTGGCTGAGGCGCGGCCGGACCAAATGTCTCCCTTCCGGGCGGCCGGTGGCCCGCGGTGTCCCGCCGGTGTCCCGCCGGTGTCCCGTGTGGCTGAGGCGCGGCCGGACCAAATGTCTCCCTTCCGGGCGGCCGGTGGCCCGCGGTGTCCCGCCGGTGTCCCGCGGTGTCCCGCGGTGTCCCGCGGTGCCCCGCGGTGTCCCGCCGGTGTCCCGCGGTGTCCCGATGATGATGATGATGATGATGATGATGATGATGATGATGATGATGATGATGATGATGATGATGCTGATGCTGATGCTGATGCTGATGCTGATGCTGATGCTGATGCTGATGCTGATGCTGATGCTGATGATGATGATGCTGATGATGATGATGATGATGATTATGTTGATGATGTTGATGATGATGAGATGATGATGATGATGATGATGATGGTGGTGGTGGTGATGATGATGATGATGATGGTGATGGTGATGCTGATGATGATGCTCCTGATGATGCTGATGCTGATGTTGATGCTGATGATGATGAATGATGGTGATGCTGATGATGATGATGCTGATGAGGATGAGGACGATGATGATGATGATGATGATGATGATGATGATGATGATGATGATGATGATCGAGTGAGATCGAGTGTGAGATAGATCGAGTGAGATCGAGTGAGGTCGATTGTGAGATCGATTGTGAGATCGATCGAGGGAGATCGATCGAGCGAGACCGATACTGAGATCGATAGTGAGATCGATAGTGAGACCGATCGAGTGAGACGTTGGTTCCTCCCCTCCCCGAACCTCCTTATCACCCGAAGGGTGGTCGTATAGGTACATATACATATATCGGAGGTGAGGAGGTGAGATCGAAGTGGAACGGAGAGCCCCCCTAACGGGAAATCGATTTCGGTTTCGTGTTCGTGCGTGCCGTGCGTGCGGGCGAGGCGAAGCTGCGTGGGCGGGCGAGAGAAAGTCTCCTGTGGCTGCGGCGCGGCCGGACCAAATGTCTTCCTTCCGGGCGGCCGGTGGCCCGCGGTGTCCCGCCGGTGTCCCGCGAAAGTCCCGTGTGGTTGAGGCGCGGCCGGACCAAATGTCTCCCTTCCGGGCAGCCGGTGTCCCGCGGTGTCCCGCCGGTGTCCCGCGGTGTCTCGCGGTGTCCCGCGGTGCCCCGCGGTGTCCCGCCGGTGTCCCTCGGTGTCCCGCGAAGATTATGATGATGATGATGATGATGATGATGATGATGATGATGATGATGATGATGCTGATGATGATGATGATAATGATAATGATGAGATGATGATGATGATGATGATGATGATGATGATGATGATGATGATGATGATGGTGATGGTGATGGTGATGGTGATGGTGATGCTCATGATGATGCTGCTGATGATGATGATGACGATGATGATGATGATGGTGATGCTGATGATGATGATGATGATATGAGGACGATGATGATGATATGATGATGATGATGGTGGTGTCCCGATGGTGATGATGATGATGATGATGATGATGATGTCGATGATGTTGATGATGACGATGATGATGATGATGATGGTGTCCCGATGATGAGGATGATGATGATCCTGATGTTGATGATCATGATGATAACGATGATGGTGTCCCGATGATGATGAGTATGATGATGTTGATGTTGATGATGCTGATTATGATTGTGTCCCGATGATGATGATGTTGATGATGATGAGGTTGATGATGATGATTTTGGCGTCCCGATGATGATGATCATGATGTTGATGATCATGATGATGTTGATGATGATGGCGTCCCGATGGTGATGATGATGATGATGATGATGTTGATGCTGATGTTGGTAATGATGATGATGGTGTCCCGATCATGACGATGATGATGATGCTGATGATGATGTTGATGATGCCGATGCTGATGATGTCGATGATGAGGATGTGATGATGATGATGGTGTCCCGATGATGATGATGATGATGGTGATGATGATGATGATAACGATGGTGATTATGATGGTGTCCCGATGATGATGCTGCTGAAGATGATGATGACGATGACTGTGTCCCGATGCTGCTGATGATGATGATTGTGATGATGGTGATGATAATGATGATGATGATGATGATGATGGTGGTTTCCCGATGATGTTGATGACCGTGTTGATGATGATGTTAGTGTTGATGATGAGGTCGGTGTCCCGACTATGATGATGTTGCTGATGATGACGTTGGTGTTGATGTTGTTGTTGTTGATGATGATGATGATGATGACGTTGATTGTGAGAGCGGTTGTGATATCGATAGTGAGATTGATTGTGAGACCGAATGTGATATCGATTGTGAGATCGATTGTGAGATCGATTGTGAGATCGATAGTCAGATCAATTGTGAGATAGATCGAGTGAGATCGATTGTGAGATCGATCGAGGGAGATCGATCGAGCGAGACCGATACTGAGATCGATAGTGAGATCGATAGTGAGACCGATCGAGTGAGACGTTGGTTCCTCCCCCCCCCGAACCTCCTTATCACCCGAAGGGTGGTCGTATAGGTACATATACATATATCGGAGGTGAGGAGGTGAGATCGAAGTGGAACGGAGAGCCCCCCTAACGGGAAATCGATTTCGGTTTCGTGTTCGTGCGTGCCGTGCATGCGGGCGAGGCGAAGCTGCGTGGGCGGGCGAGAGAAAGTCTCCTGTGGCTGCGGGCGAAGAAGGGTGGTCGTGTAGGTATATTTTCCTCTTTCTATATTTTTACAAGCCCAGGCGGGGGGAAAACCCGTCCCCCCCCCAAAAAAAAAAGAACGGACTCCCGGGATCTGGGGTTTTGGGACCCTTCGGACGGGCCTCGAAGCGGCCCCCCGGGTCTCGCAAGGCGTTTTGCCAAGCCTTCGCAGCACACCTGGGGCGATCAGGGGGGTCATCGGAGACGTCCTGGAGAACCCTAAGACAGCACAAGAGCGCTCCAAGAAGCCGTCATACCTCGAAAGATGGCTCCAACACGTACCAAGAGGCCTCCAAGAGCACCCCCAAGAAGGCCCCAAGAGAGAAAACTCATTCATTTAATGTAGGTTTTTTGGTGAATTTGGGATTCTCCTCTTTTCGGCTTCCCGACGCTCCAAGACAGCGGTCTTCTGGGCGTCCGAAGTCGCCTGGGAGGCTCCAAAATCGCCCCACAGCCATCCGAAAGGGCTTCCAGGCAGTCCAAGAGAGCTCCAAAACGGCACACCAGGGGTCCAAAATGGCCCTAAGAGAGCCCCATGGCGGCCCAAGATGGCCCCACGACACCTTCCGAAGCATTTCAAATCGTGACCGGGGCGTTCAGGGAGACCGCGGTTAGAGGCAGGTTGGCCTTAGGAAGCCCCAGAGGCCCCCAGAGCACGCCCAGGAGGCGTCCAGAAGGCTTTAAGAAAGCTTGTGAACTTTGGTGAGGTTCCCAGAGGCTCTCCAAGGAGGAGCCTCCGCAAAAAGAGCTGAGGAGGATGGGGAGACTGCCCAGGGTATGGCGAGAATGAGGACAAATAAGCATGGATGAAGGATAACGAACAACATTATTATTACGGCGATGCCAGAAAAAAAAAGCAGCAAGGAGTTATCGTTAAAGTGTCCGCTTGACCTTCCTGCCTTTTCCGCCTGCATAGCAATCTTCAAGGACCAAGGTGCATGGCGCGAAGCGCCACTGCAGTCTTGTATATATATATATATAGATATTGACTCATATATAAGCATGTATATATACACACGTGTTTATACATCGATATGTGTATATGTGGATGCCGTGGTGCGTCCAGGTGAATCGTAGCACATCGTAATTACTGACATCTCCATGGCAACTTGCAGAAGGCCCCAGAAGCCCGTTACGAGAGACGGGGGTGAATCCATACACATATACATACACACATACATACATACATACATACATGCATGCATGCATACATTCATACATACATACTTACATACATACATACATACGTACATACATACATACATACACACAGACATGCATACACGCATGCATACATACATACATTCATACGCACGTACGTACGTACAAACGTACATACATACCTACATGCATACATACATACACACATACATACATACATGTTTGCAGACCTGCCTACCTGCATACCTACCGACCGACCTACATTGCATGCATGCATGCATGCATGCATGCATGCATGCATGCATGCATGCAAACACACATATATGCATGCAAACATCCATACACACATACATAACATCGTACATACATGCATGCATACATACACACATGCACACAGACAGACATACACACATACAGACATACAGACATACAAGCATACAAACAAACATACAGACATGCATCCATGCATGCATGCATACATACATACACACGTACGTACGTGCGTACATAATACATGCATACGTGCATGCATGCATGCATGCATATGCATACAAAGTTTGATAGATGTGTCTCTGTATATCGTGGTGATTCTGGGTGAATCGTAGCAGATCTGGATAGATCGAATTAATTCCTGAGATCTCCAGTCGGGCCAGGACGGGGGTAAATCCGTTCCAGAGTGTCCCGGGATGCTCTCAGAGCGTTCTGGATCGTTTTGCGAAGGCCACGGCGCTCGATACATCCCCCCGCGTCGCTGGATCTCGGAAATTCTCGATTCATCCTCGCCCGGCCGTCTCCTCGTTCCGGCTTCGTCCCACCCAGAGATGTCCCCAGGAGCCCCCGACGAGAGGCGGCGCGGCCGCGCGGTCGGCCGCGCGCCGCGCGCGCCTCCCCGCGTGCCGTGCCCTGGCGTCGCGCCGTGGCCGAGGGCGGCGTCCTGGCGGAGGCGCCTAAGCCGGCGTTCAGCAAGATGGCCGCGATGCCGGACCTGTCGGGCCAGGCGTCGCCCCGGTCGATTCTGAGAGGGAAGAAGTCAAGCAGTGGCGAAGCGTCCTGGCTCGCCTTGAGCCCTACCAAGCAAGGTCCTAAGAACCTCTTGTGGTTTCCACGAAATGTTCATAGAGCATTTCTGGCAGAGTCTGTCTTATTTTATCACATCGCGTTTATGTTCTACGAACATTGCTCTTGTCCTTAGAACATTTTTGGGTTCTAAGAACGTTTCGTGGTAGGACTATAGGAATGCCGGGACGGTCGGTCCCTGCTCAAAATAGGTGCCTATACCGCTACCCCTTCGCCCGTTTTCCCCCCTTCGGGCCTCCTGGGAGGCCCCCGTCGCCACCGCCGGATCAGCGTCGAAATCTCAGTCAGAATGCACCCTGGGAGAGGTCCGGGGAGTAGCCGCATCGGTACCTTTGACTGCCCCCAATCTCGATGACACGCGACCCTTCGCCAGAGTGACTTTTGGTGCGGGCCCACTGGCGTCTCCCGATCGCCGAACGCGACGCGATAGTAGCGTCTTGCGCGCTGGTGCTCGGTCCACCCGCGGCCCCGGAAAGCCGCGCACCAAAGGTCACTCGTACCCAGGGCCATTATTGACTGTATCGGGGGTGGACAGACCTCCTACCCTGACACGTCGATTAGCGAATTGGCCGTTTTCGGTTCGCGAGAGGGCGTCGCGGCCGTCATTTTTGCGGGTCCAGGTCCGTCGGTTTCGGTCCCTAGATCGTTTTCACTAAGGGGAGGTCTACTAAAGGGAGGTTTGTCCACCGCTGACAGTGGGGCCCATGCCAAGAAACACCCTGTTTGCCTCCAGGGTGCCCTGGGTTCCTTGGCTCTCGATGGCTTTGCGATGGAAAGCGTGACGCTCCCACACCCAAATCCATGGACGTCCTGGGGTCTAAAGGTTGGATTTCTTGTGGAAGGTTTCTTGTGGTCTGGTCTCCACTCTATATGCTAGATGTTTTCAAACGTTGTCGTCGGTTTTCAGCTGGTTGTCAGCCTCGGGATGCTCTCCAGGAGCTCCGTCTTGTTCAGAGTTTTCCGATGGTGCCTGGATCGTCCCGAACGGCAGCTGGAGGCCCGAGCTATGACCCGAAGACCACCAGGCGTCTTAAAAATCCTTCGGGGACGTCCCAGAGAGTGAAAATGACTAGGGGGTGTGGGTACAGTCGGACCGAGGTATCAGATCGAGATCGGTCCAGGGAGGTTACCCTAGTGTTCTGTGCGCTTGTTGGATATTCTTCTGCATCCTGGGGAGGGTACCCTTGGATATTCTGTGTGTCTTGGCCGACGGAGGTTCTAATGGTCTTGAAGGACGGCCCCCCCTCTTAGACGCCCCTCTCATGGACGTCCCCGAAGGGCGAAGTTCAGGAAACGCGGCATGGCGATCCAAGAAATCTGCGCGGAGTGTCGAATGTTTGTGTTAACGTTTGTTTCTTATTACTAGGAGGGCCAATCGAGAGCGGCGGCCCTCCCTTGCGTTTTCCGTCCTTGCTTGGGCCTCCTGGAATCTTCGGAGTCCCCCGAACGGTGTGGTGCTCACACCGTGTGGTGAGCCAGTGGGGATTCGGGGTCACCGCACGGTCTTTGGGACTCGGGTAATTGGGGCCGCCATGGTCCCAAACCGTGCGGTGACGCACCGTGCGGTGAGGTATTTGGAGATCTCGAGGTCGCCGCGCGGTCTGTCACCACACGGCTCGGGACCCCGAAGGCTTCTCGTCGCCACGGATGGATCCGCCTCGAGCAGCGGGTTGGACCCGGGAGGGGCCCGGGGACAGATTTTGAGCGGATCTGGGCATTTGGTCTTCTTAGACGCAGGGTTTTTCTATGTTTCTGTTCGGCCTCTTGTGGTGTTCCCACTGGGCCACGTGTCCGTCAGAACACTGCTCGGGATAAGAAGCCAGCCCTGGGGAAAGGATCGGGATTTCAGGGCTCCCCACGTTGAAAGTGAAGACGTCGGATCTGCGGTTCCCCGTCTTAATCTTTCCGTGAAGACGAGGGTCCGTTGTTTCTTTCTCCGTTTTTGAGCTCCGCGGGGTCCCTCCAACGACCGAAGGCCGTGTCACAAGGGCTCGGGGCGAGAGGTTGGTCTTGAAGAAAGTTGTTGGGTCCAGCACCTTAGGATGCAACTCCTGGGAAGTTTAGACTCCGCATCGGCACTGGTATGTCCGTCGTCGAAAATCTGCCGAATCTTGTACACTCCTGTTTAATTCTGGGTGATCTCGCTCAATCCGGCTTTATGCGGGTTAATCCTGGGTTTATTCCGGTTCAATCCAATTCATTTGTCTTTTGCTCATGCCTCCCCCTCCCACCCTCATCACCGTTTTGTGCTCGAAGACTCGGAGCTGCAGGTGGCACCTGTTAGCAGAGTCGAGCCTTGTTCTGCTTCGGCCTCTCTACACTCATCTCCCTGTGTGTATATATGTATCCGTTTTTTGTGTTGTCGATGATATGTATATATATATATATATATATATATATATATATATATATATACGATGATATGTTTATATATGTATATATATATATATATATATTATATATATATATATATATCTGTCGGGGTACAAGGCCGGGGGCCTCTGGCCAGCTGCCTCGACTCGCCATGGGGGGAACCCCCCCTGGGCCTCTCCAGAGCCGCTTCGGGGCGTCTCCCGAGCGGCTCTGGACGGACCCTGGTGCTGTTTCAGCACCAGGAATGGTTCCCATCTTCGACCCATGTCGCCGAAGCACGTGGTAGAGGTTTCGGGAGGCCTCTAACATGGCTCCAGACGCTTCCAGGAGCACTCCCAAGAAAGCCCCGGGAGGCCAAAATTGATGGTTTCACTATGGTTTTGGAAGGATTTTGGCCTTCTGGTTTTTCCGGTTGTACGACGCTCCAAGACGGCCCAGGAGGTCTCCAGCTCCGCCCCCAAGCAGCCCCAGAGGCCCCCAAGACAAGCCCAAGGCGGCCCCAGAGAGCCCAAGGCTGGCCCAAGAAGCGCCCACGACAGCCAAAGAAGGCTCCAAAACAAGCCCAAGAAGGGCCCAAGAAAGGGACCGCGTACCGAACACCCAGGGCTCCCGCCTCAACAGTGATCCCTGGAGGCCCCAGGCAGCCCCCGAGAGTCCTCCAACATGGCTCCAAACGCTTCCAAGAGCACCCCCACGAGGGCCCCAGCAGGCCAACAATTGATGGTTTTACAACAGTTTTGGAAGGGCTTTGGCCTTCTGATCTTTGCGGCTGTCCGACGCTCCTAGTCGGCCCAGGACGCCTCCGAGACCGCCCCCAAACAGCTCCAGAAGCGCCCAACGCCGCCCCGAGGCGGTCCCGGAGAGCCCAAGGCTGGCCCAAGAAGCGCCCAGGGCGGCAGCCCACGAGTGCCCCAAAACAGGCCCGAGAGGTGTCCAAGAGACGGACCGCGTCCGGCCCCCCCGCCCACGGCGGCTTTCCTGGACGCCCGGGGCTTCCTTGGGGCGTCCCCGGACCCTCCCCGAGTCCTCTCCGGCGCTTCTATTGGGTTTCCGGGCAGCTCAAGATGGCGCCAAGACGGCTAAGAAGCCCCCAAGACGCTTCGCGACGGCTCCAGAGGCCTCCAAAGACGGCCCAAGAGGCCGTCAGAGGGCACCCCAAAAGGGCGCCAAGAGGCAAACATCATTGATTTTCAATAGAAAACGTATATTTTTAGCAGATACACTTTTTCGGCATTCACGGCGTTGAAGACGGTCGAAGAGACCCCTACGACCACCCCAAGACGGCCCAAGAGGTTCCCAAGAGGCGCCCAAGACGGCCCAAGAGGGCGCCAAGACGGCCCAAGAGGCCCCCAAGACGGCCCAAGAGGGCCCCAAGACAGTCCCAAGAGGGATTCCAAACGGGCAGCCCAAACCCAGAATCCGAGCCTTCCGCTCCAAAAAGGCCCCAGGATGCCCCAAGAGGCCCCCCAAAGGCCCCCAAGAGGGCCCCAAAAGGCCCCCAAGAGGCTTCCAAGGGGCGCTTAAGAGGCTCCAAAAAGGCCCCAGAGAGGGCCCACGAGGCACGGGCGGCGGAAAGTCGGCGAATGCAGTTTCGATACCATGCCGGGCCCAGCGCATGGGAGGAGGAGCGGGAGGAGGAGGACTGGGAGGAGGGGGATCGGGAGGAGGACAAGCGAATTAGGTGCGCTCGCGTCATATCTAACGGCTAATGTCCTACCCCTCCCCCCATCTCATACCATCCGGGATCAAAGTTGCCCCAAGTGCCCTCTTGAACCGACGACGACGAAGCGACGAAGACGAAGACGACGACGACGACGACGACGACGACGACGACGACGACGACGACGACGACGACGACGGCACGCCCCAGCAGGCTCCCCAAGACGCCCCCCAAACCCATGTTCCCGCAATGCCTTTTGGGAAGCCGGTTAATCAGGCCTCCGCCCCCCTACGCAGCCATCCTCCCCGAAAGCCTTCCAGAATGCGGATTGACACGCATGGATTTCTCACAGCCCATACTGCGTTCAGCGTTGTGGGCAATTTACTTCCCGCTCAAACCATCTGTGGTCCACTTACTTCATTAGAGCAGTGCACTCGTCAAGGCCTGGGGTCTGCTAGAACCTCAGTGCGCGCGAAGCGCGCGCGATGGTTCTAGTATATATATATGTGTGTGTGTGTGTGTGTGTGTGTCTGTAGCTTCGCCTCTCTCTCTCTCTCTCTTTCCGTATATGTAATCCCATGTTTCTCTCTCTAGTACTCTATGTCTCGCTCTCTCTTTCTCTCTCTCTCTCTCTCGCGCTCGCTCTCGCTCTGTCTTTGTGTCTCTCTCTCTCTCGTACATGATATCTATCTCTCTCTCTCTCGCTCTGTTTCTCTGTGTCTCTATGTCTGTCTCTTTCTCGCTGTTTATCTCTCTACTTTTGCTTCTCTGCCTTTCTGTCTCTGTCTATATCCGTTTCTCTCTTCTGATTTATTTTCACTCTCTCTCTCATCTCTCTTCGTGGGTTCTCGTTTTGAATCTAGCACTGCTTGCGCGTCTCAGTCCTCCCACCTCCTCCCCTCCTCCTCCCCCTCCCCTTCCTCATCCTACCCTCTCCTCCTGCCTCCTTGCCTCCTTTGCTTGTACCTTTCCCACTGGGGGGCTGCGAACTGCGCCACCGTCGCCACTGCCGTGTGCGCCTGGGGGGCACGGCGGACGTGCAGGGCCACGCAGATTCCGTTGAGACCTCGCGGCCGCGTCGGGGGCTGCGAATGGTGCAGGTGTGGCCACCTTCGTGGGTCCCCGGGAGGCATCATGGCGGGCGTGCAGGGCCACGCAGAGCCAAACGCGGCCTCGCAGCTCCGTTGGGGGCTGCGACCTGCGCAATCGTCGCCGCTTTTGCGGGCATCTGGGAGGCACGGCGAAGTGCAGGGCCACACGGATCTCTTTGAGACCTCGCGGCTCCGTCGAGGGCTGCAAAGTGCGCAACCGTTGCCATTTTCGTGGGCTTTTGGGAGGCACAGCGGAGTGTACGGCATCGCAGATCTTTTCGAGACTTCGCGGCTCCGACGGGGGCTGCGAATTGCGCATCCGTCGCCATTTTTCATGGGCTTTTGGGAGGCACGGCGGAATGTAGGGCCACGCATATCGCGCATCTCTCGCAATTCGTTATTTCGTATGGAGCATTCTTATAAAAAAGCCGCCTCGCGTTGAGAAGGGGTTGGGTACTTCTCGGGTAATTCTCTCTCTCTCTCTCTCTTTCTCTTTCTCCCTCTCTCTCTATCAGTAGTTGCTTGTTGTATACAGATGTGTATAACATATACAATACACATATATGTACATATCTCTATATCTCAAAATATAGAGAGAAAGAGGTGTGTGCGTGTGTATATCCATAACCTGCTTATCTCTCTGGCTCGTTTTCCGTCTCGCTGTCGCTCTAATCCGATGTGGGCTTGCATTCTCTTCCTGCATGGAGAGACGAGCCGCAGTGTTACCGGGTCCACCGCGGCGGTAACCGGGCGGTAACCGCACAGGTCATGTGGGCATGCTTATTCTTGTCTTGCGACGCGCGCCGACCGAAGCGGGTAGCGGCAAGTTCAGGAGGTCATCAGACAATACGTCACCAGACAATCCGTCATCAGATGTTGATATGATGTTTTTCGAGATCTCCAAATTTGAATTTGACATCCCCACCTGTTCCCTTGGGCTGAGAAGGACGACGTTGGCAAGGGCGACGCCGGCAAGGGCGACAAGGGCTGCGGAAACGGGGCCATGGCCAAGGGCGACGCCGGCAAGGGCGACAAGGGCTGGGGAAAAGGCGACATGGTCAAGGGCGACGTTGCCAAGGGCGACAAGGGCTACGGAAAAGGGGCCATGGCCAAGGGCGACGCCAACAAGGGCGACAAGGGTTGGGGAAAAGGCGACATGTTCAAGGGCGACACTGGCAAGGGCGAAATGGGCTGTGGGAGTGCCGACATGGCCATGGGCGGCAAAGGTGACATGGTTACAGGCGAGCCGCGTCTGTCTGTGACATGAGTGATGTTCAGTTGGTGTTGTATTTTATGTTATGTTTGTTTCTCCTTTGTCTCTTCTCTTATAAGTGTCTTTACCTATACGACCACCCTTCGGGTGATTAGGTTGGGGGGGAACCTGCTGGCAACTGCGATGGGTGTGATGATGACGATGCTGGTGGCGCGCCCTCGAGTTGGCGACGACGCGTGATGACGATATTGCGCTGCGACACCGCTATCGATCCCACAGTCGATCTCACTATCGATATTACGATCGATCTTATTATCGATCTCACTCGACCGATCTCACTTTCGATTTTGCATTCGATTTCTGAAGCGATCTCGATCGATCTCACAATCGAGCCCACTATCGATCTCACTGTCGACATCGCAATCGATCGCACTATCGACCTCACTATCGATTGCACTATCGATGCAACTATCGATCTCAAGATCGATCTCACTGCCGCTCGAACGATCGATGCAACTTCCGACCTCACTACCGACCTCACTATCGATCCAACTATCGATCTCACTACCGATCTCACCACATCTCGGTCGTTATCGATCTTACTATCGATCTCACTATGGATCGGGACAAGATCGGGACACCACGGCGGGACACCACTGGGACATCGCGGGACATCACGGGACACCACGGGACACCACGAGACACCATCGGGACACCACGGCGGGACACCGCTGGACACCATCGGGATACCGCGAGACACCACCCCGGGACACCCCCAGCCACCGCGCGCCCACGGGGGGGGGGCGGACTTTTGCATCCGAATCGCCCTAGCGACGGCGGGATTATTCCTCCCGCGCGCCCACGGCGAGACACCGCGCGACACCATCGGAATACCGCGAGACACCACGCCGGGACACCCCCAGCCACCGCGCGCCCACCGGGGGGGCGGACTTTCGCATCCGAATCGCCCTAGCGACGCGGGATCATTCCTCTCGCGCGCCCACGCAGCTTCGCTTCGCCAGCACGCACCCATGAAGATGAAACCGAAACTGATTTCCTGGTTGGGGGGCTCTCCGTTCCAATGCGACCTCACTCCCAAACCTCCCATCTCTCTCTCTCTCTGTCTCTCTCCCCCCCTTTCTTCCTCAATCCTGCGAGTCGCAAGAAGGAGAGAGTGAGTGAGTGACTCCCCCCTCTCTTTCTCCATCCTGTGAATCGTAAGAGTTATTGAGTGAGTGAGTGAGAGAGAGCGGTCCTCGCGAAATCACCTTCAGTTTCACGGTTGGACATGTTGGCGGCCACGCAAGGCAAGCGAACAGGTTAAGTCTATTCGGTTGCCCGCGGCAAGTCCAACCACCGTGCAAGCGCAGTAGTAGTGAAGCGCAGCAGCGCAGCAGGGAGACGGATGAGGAGTTGAAGACCTTGGGCAAGACAGCCCCGTAAGGAGTTGTTGCCCGCCGTCCGCCGAAGCCACCCGCCACCCACTAGGGGTTGATGTTGTTCTGGCGGGTGTCCCCATGGAACACCCCTCTGACATAAACATTCGTCTGGGTTTTAAGGGGTACCCGTGGGGGGTATCTCAGTACCCTCCACGGGTGTTTAAGCCTGCGACGAGGGATTCCCACACGGGGTTCCCTAATCCGTAAGGGCTTCGCCCCTTGCCGCCGGCCCCCTGTCTCGGAGAATGGGAGATGCAAAAGCTAAATCATGAGGTCTGGGCGCCGCCGTGAAGCAGTGTCGGGACCTGCTTGTTTTGCGACCGTGACCCTACGGATCTGTATGAGGGGTGCCACCGAATTTCAGAAATGTAGCAAATCCCATGTGTTTTTGGACCCTGACCCTACGGATCTGCGTGAGGGGTGCCGCCGAATTTCAGAAATGTAGCAAATCCCCTGTGTTTGTGGACCCTGACCCTGTCGATCCGCGTCAGGGGTGCCACCGAATTTCAGAAATGTTGAGAATCCGCTAAGTTTTCGGACCCTGACCCCGCCGATCGGCGTGAGGGGTGCCACCGAACTTCAGAAATGTAGCAAATCCCTTGTGTTTTTGGACCCTGACCCCGCCGATCTGCGTGAGGGGTGCCAGCGAAATTCAGAAATGTGGCAAATCCCATGTGTTTTTGCACCCTGACCCCGCCGATCTGCGTGAGGGGTGTTAATTTTTACCCACCCCAGCAATTCAGAGCACACGGACAGGGCGTGCTAAACCTGCCCGTTTGGGCTTCCCCCCCCTCGCGCGGTCCGTCAGCAAGGAACAGTAAGCAGCAAGACGCAGAACTGAACAGTGGAAACTGGAAGCTGCAACTGGTACAGGAAACTGCGAACCTTCGCCCTACAGCCCGGTGGCCCCACAAGGGGGCCGGCGGATTTTTGTTTCGGACGGTTCCTGGGACCCCACCAGATGAACCTGACATGTTTTATTGTCTTTGTTGTTGTGTGTGCGGGGGGGGGCGAGTGGCCGGGGGGGCCCAAAACCGGTGGTCTAGGTCAAGGGCCTTTCTAGGGGTCTGCGAAACCAGTGCCGCGGTTTCTATGTTACAGTCGGACCGAGGTACAAGATCGAGGTCGGTTCGGGGAGGGTACGCTGATGTTCTTCGTGTTGGGTGGATGCTTTGGTGCATCTTGGGGGAGGTTACCCTCGAATGCTCTTCTGTTTGGGCCGTCGGAGGGTCTCATGTCCTTGAAAGATGTGTTTCTGTCCTAGGTCTGTTCTGCCGCAGGGAGGACGGCAACGAGCAAACGCCCGACACTGCCTCCCCCAGGTTCGAGAGACCCCCCCCATAAGAGCACGCCGCAGGGATATGCTCTACGAGGAAGTGGGCCCAAAATACTCCCACACCGGCCAGTCTCTCCCAGCCCCGATTCCCAATGCCTTGGATGAGTTTGCTCGGGTCTTGAGCACCCCCATCCTTGTGCCGCTCGCTGTGTGTCAGGAGGAGGAGGAGGAGGAGGAGGAGGAGGAGGAGGAGGAGGAGGACCCGTCGCTTCCGCGAGCTCGGGCCTTGGGCACCCCCATCCCAGGGCTCGTTTCGATTCCTCCGATTCGATTCGATCCGAGTTCGATCGCTTCCGATTCCGCTTCAATTCGATTTCGGATGCCGATGCGGATTCCGATTTCTCAATTGAATGCCTGCTAGCTTGCCGATTTCTGCCGATTGGACTTCTCCCGACTCGGCTGCCGATTTCCGCCGATCCGATTCATTTCGATCGCCGATCCGACTAATCGATCCGATTCTGGGCTCTCCTGCCATCCTTGTGCTCCTTGCTCCGCTCTGTGTGCCCGCCGCTTCCGTGAGCTCTGTGCAGCCGTGTTGGCTTTAGATGTCATGCTTACTGTAGGTGTGGGTTAGAGTGCCAGTGTCAGGGTGGTAGGGTGTCAGGGTCGGGATGTTCGGGTCTTTGCTCCCAAGAGGCCCTACGAGCCACCCAGAGGCCTCCTAGAGCGCCCGAAGAGGCCCTGGGACTGCTCAAGAGGACCCCAAGAAGGCACAAGATAGCCCAAAATGGCGCCAAGTTGGCTTGAGAGCCCCCATAGAACCCTAAGACATGCCCAGACAGCCCAAGAAGACCCCAGTAGCCCTCAAGAGGACCCCGACAGGCCCCCAAGAGCTCCCCAGGATGCCCCAGACGGCCCCAGACGGCCTCAACAGCCCAGAGGGTAGCCTCAAAAGATCGCGAGGACCCCTCTCTTCTTCGACGTCCTGTTCGTCGGGCTCCTTACCGTCCTTCGTCGTCGTCGTCCTTCTTCTCCTCCTTCCTCCTCCTCCTCCTCCTCATCATCATCATCCTCCTTATTCTCGTCATCCGCTCCGTTCCTCCTCGTACTCGTCCTCCTCCATCTCTCCCTCGTCCTCGCGCTAGTGTTCCTTCTCGTTGTCCTTCTGCCCCCCTCGCTGCCCTCCCCGTCGTTCACGCTGCCATCCTCGACATTCTCCGCCTCGTCGACGCCATCATCCTTTCCTGATTGTTCCCCATATAAGCACAATGGACAATAGACAAAATCGGCGCTTACCGTTCTTGTCCGATCAGGTACAAAGACGGCCCACAGAAACCCCAGGAGCCTCAGGCGCGTCCTTCACGCATCCATCGGTGACCCAATACTGCCCCCAGACTGGCAGAGGGAGGAGGGAGAGGAATTGCTAGTTCGGATCATTCTTACCTTCCTCTGCCTGCACTTCTGTCTACACACCCGGGTTCCTGGACCGCGTCCCAGCGCATCGGTGCCCAGACAGCAGCCCGCTTCAGGGGGTGCCAGGGTACATTTGCCAGCCCTCTTGGGCGCCCAATACTAAGACTCACCCCACCTCATCCTGCCAATCCCCCCAACAAGCGCAACGTTTGCACGTCCTGCTGGTGCGACTCTCCGGAAACATCCACGAGGGCGCCGTTCCAGACAATCACAAAAACGTTTCAAGGGTACTGTCAGGGCCCTGACACGACCGCATGCCAAACTTTTCACCCATCTCCAACCAGCCCCAGGGCCTCCCGTAGACGCCTGCGCCAGGACTTGCCGCGATAGTTTCGTAGGAAAGCCCCCCAAGAAACACTGAAAAGATGTGCAACGGGCCCGCTGGGCGGTCCCGACAGACCCCGGCGCCATCCCGGTACCCTCAGGAGTTTGAGCGGGCGGTCATCTGTGATGGTTGCTCTGGGGCCACGGCACTTGTCGTTGCACAAACTTGTGCGATTGCATGTCGTGTCGTCCCGAAGAGGCCTCCAGGAAAAGCGGTGCCCACAGAAAATGCCTCTCGCCACAGACAGTCACCACCCACCAAACCACCCCAACCCAACCCGAAGGCTTCAATTTGCCCTCCATTTCCAGTGGGGGCGGGGTCGGGGAACACTGCAAAACCACATGGAACCCGTACCCCCCCTCCCAAACCGAAATTCGGGTCAAATTCGGGTTTTCGGGTTGGGTTGGGGTGGTTCGGTAGGCAGTCAGACAGGGATGCAGAGATCCACCCCGCCCGAAGAGGGCCAGCTCTCGGAGCTGCCCCGCGGGGAGGGAGATCTGGAGCCCCGATGTCCTATCTCTGTGGGCAGGCGGCCACAGGCCCCGAGCCCGAGGCCAAAATGTCATTCTCCGGGAGGGGAAAACACACGGACACAATTAACCGTCGACTCCCAGGAAGATATGGGAAAATATGGGAAGTGGGGGGGAAGACGAAAACTCAAAAAACGATGGGAAACTATGGGGCATCCTGGGATTTGTGTGTATTTATTTGTGTGTCCCTGGGCCCCTTTAACTCTCCCCTTCCGCCCTCAGCGCCCGTGAACTTCCCAAACATCTGGCGCCGCGGACGCCCGCTGCGGCGGCGGTGGTGGCACGACGGCGGCGGCGGCTGCGGGAGCGTCGGCGGGAGGACGCGGGGGCACAACAGTAAGAAGCATCGACGGCGGCCTTGCGTCATGGCAGCCTCCACGGAATGATCCACGGGGCGTGCACTAACGTTCACAGTGGAGACCCATGCCAAGAAAACCCTGTTTGCCTCCAGAGTACCCTGGGGTTCTTGGGTTTCGATGGTTTTGCGATGGAAGGCGCGGCCTTCCCGCGCCAAGAATCGATGGACGTCCTGGGGTCTCAAGGTTGGGTTTCTTGTGGCAGGTTCCTTGTAGACTGGCCTCCGCTGTACTGACGCTTCCCCCGTTCCCAAGTCTCCCAAGATCAGGCGATCGCACACATGGATCAAGGGGGCGTGGATTAGCGACGGGCCACGCTTCCATGGGAACCCGCCCACTGCCGCCGCCGAGCGAGGCGGCACCGGCCGCACTCTGGGGAGGGCACCGCCCCCGATCCCACGGATTTGGCGACCGCGCGCCAGATCCATCGCCGATCCATGCTTGCGCGCACCCGACGAGAGCACGCAGCCCGCTTCGGCCCTCGCTGCACTGCCCGCGCCGGGCCGAGGGGCCCTCGGCGGAGGGGCGCGCGCAGGCGCCCGCACGCGCCCTCGGCGTGCCGTCGGGCGCGCGGTCGGGGCCGCGGAGGGGCAGCCGGCCAGGGGCTCGATCGCGCCGCGCGCGGGGCGCTGCGTGCGGGCTCGGTGTAGGGGGCGGCCAGGAGGGGGGGAGGACCGGGGTTCAGTCGGGCCTGTCCCTCTACAGGGGGGAAATTCAAAAATAGTCAAAAATAGTTTGGGGACTATTTTCTGAGTATTTCTGACGACTTTTAGGGTATTTTTGGGTATTGTTATTTTTTCCTCCAAAATCCCCCTGTAGGGGGACGGGCACGACTTAAGACTAGGGCGGGACGGGATGTTATGGCGTGGGCCATGATATCTTCTCTGATCACATGGCGCCTCTTCTTATTTCATTGCTTCCCTGCCCCCCCCCCTGGGCCGCGCACATGCCGCCGATAGTGGGCCCACACATGCCGCCGCGCTCTTGAACGTCCCCCTCTTGGCCACCCCCGATAATGGGCCCTGGAAACAACAGGGCCGGTTTTCACCGGTTCCGTTTTGCCGTTCTTATGGCCGGTCCCGACGCCGTTTCTGTTGCCAGTTCCAGGCGCCGCTGTTTTGCCGTTTCCAGTTCCGGTTCCGATAAGGCCGTTTCCGTTGCCGCTTCCGGTCGCCGTTTTTTTTGGGGTTGGTTCCAGAAAAGTGAAAACAGTGAAAACCGGCCTTGCCGGTTGAAGGGCCCACGATCGGGAGCGGAAAAGAGGGGGGTGATGACTAGGAGGGGCCGTGGACAGCATGGCGTGGGCCATGATATTTCCCCAGATCTCATGGCGCCTCTTCTTATTTCATTACGTCCCTGGCACCCCCCGCTGGCCCGCGCACGTGCCGCCGCCGGTCATGAAGTGCACCCCCCCTCTTGGACACCCCCCTCTGGGCCGCTCCCGACACGAAGCGTGCGGGCGGGCGCCGTGAAGTCTGCAAAGTGCCCGCCCCCCCCCCCCCCGCCTGCGAAGGTGCCCCCGGCCCCTTCGCCCGGCCGCAAGGCCCCCGCTGAGCGGGCCGCCGCTCGCGTCGGAGGGCTCCGAGAGCGCCGCAGACCACTCTCGGGGGTGGACAGACCTCCTACCCTGACGCGTCGATTAGTGAATTGTCTGTTTTCGGTTCTCGAGAGGGCGCCGCGGCCGTCATTTTCCAGGCTTGCGCCCGCCAGGTTCGGACCCGAGGTCGTTTTCACTAAACCACGTTTTTCTAAAGGGGGTTCTGTCCATCCCCGACTCTCGGCGGCGAGCGAGAGGAGGAAGTGAGAAAGAGAAGGCCTGATCAGAAGGCGGCGGGACTTCTCAGAAGCCCTCGCGCCTTCTGAGAAGTGTGCCGAGCCTTCGGGGTAAGCTCAGAAAACTTCTCAGAAGGTTGGGGGACTTCCGAGCCGTCTGAGAAGGCCCGCCCTTTCTCACTTCCCCCCCCCCGCGCTCGCCGCCAAACGAAAGTGGCTGCCAAGATGGTTTGGGAGGGCCCCAGCGAATTTCCCATTACTCGAGAAGGCCCCAAGGGTGCCAAAGGGAAGGCTGAAGAGGACCACCCACACAGATCAGGATGAGTCAAAAGCTAAGAGCCTGATGTTCCTTGGGTCCTTTCACTGGCTCCCCTGATGCTCTCCTTTCGCATCTGGGCGCAACCGAGGCACAAAGGGCGCTTCGATCGCTGTTCCAAGTCCCTTCTGGTAAGACTGTGCTTATGGGAGGATGTGCGATAGTGCGCTAGCGCGCACCGACTTCATGTACGAGGGAACCGCGGGTGAGCCCGGGGCCCAAGAGAGGAGGAGGAGGGAGGGAGCGGGGGAGACAGAGGAGGGGAGAGCAGGAGGAGAAATATCCCAGAGGCTCCTTCCCGAGTCACGAAGACGGCGACGGACGAGTCAACGCAGTAACGCCGCGAACGAGGCCGACGACGGAGTGGGGGAGGGGAGAGGAAGGGAGAGTGGGAGGAGGGAGGGCCCCGAGATCCGCTGTCCTCTCTCTTTCGGTACGGGGCCTCGGGAGGTCCCGGCCCCTTCCTCGTGGCAGGCCGCTCTTCGGCGAGTCCCCGGAGCGTGGCGAGGGCCCCCTCGGCGGCCGAAGGCGACGCACGGCACTTCCGCGTCGGTTCTGCTCCGGGCGTGGGACGTCTGGGGACACATCTGACCGAGCGACGCACAAAACACGGGGTCGTCTGCTGCGACACTGGCGCGTGAGCTGCCCGCGTAAAGTCAAGTCGGGCCCGTCCCTCTACAGGAGGAGGATTTCAAAATAGTAAAAAAAAAAAAAACAGGCCGGGAACTATTTGTTTTGTATTTGTTTGCCATTTTGGAGCATTTTAGGAGTATTTTTATTTTTTCGTCGACAATCCCCCTGTAGGGGGACATGCCCGACTTAAGCGTAAGGCCGCGCGTAAGCGCCCTCGCTTCCAGCGTAGCGGGCCGCGCTGGCGGCCCGCTCAAGCCGCCGCGTGAGGTCGCTACGTCATCTCGCGTACGACCATTCTCTTTTCGTCGCTCATCTGGACATTTTTGGCCATGCCCGAGGGACCGCGCCGCACCCAACGACGCGTGCGCACCCGATGCCAGTCACCAGAGCCCCTGACCTGACATGCACCCGCGCCGACGCAGGTTTCGCAACTTACACCCGACGGACCCCGACGTCCCAGCAGCGTCCAGCAGAGCAGCGCGTTGTACACGAGCAGGCAGGCCAAGGAGAAGTGGAGGGAACGGGGAGCGAGGGAGTGTCCCTGATTAGCAGATTAAGGTCCCAAGTTAGAGTTCGAACCGGCTCGCGTTCCCCTTCCCGTCGCCTGAAAAGCGCTGCCCCCCTCATCAACGCTACCTGGATCGCATTATGGTATCTGCACGCCTGCGGACGACCCTGGTATCCCCTCAGGATTGAGATCAAGTCTCAAACAGGAGGGCGACAGAGCAGGAGGGACGAGGCAGCAGGTAGGGCGTGAGGGAGGGGTGCGCGCAAAGGCGGCTCCCGAGCACGCCGGCGCACTGCCGCTTGCCGCCCCCCCGCGCGGAGGCGACCAGGGCGAGCGGGGCAAGGGCGGCAAGGCGTCTTGGCAGCCGCCCGTCAAGGCGACCGGGGCCAGGGAGGCAGCTTAGCATCGCTCGGACGTGTGCGTTTTTACTCGGCGAGGATCGTCGAGGAGCGTGTTGCGTCGTCTTGGGATCAAGGCGCGCACGAAACCGAACAATGCACAGGGAATGGACGTCCGAGCGATGGCGAGGGGGGGTCCTCCCTCCGGGCCTTCCAAACCCAGACCCCCTCGCGGCGTGACAGAACTTGACGGAAGGTTTTTGGCGATGTTCGGCTTCTCGGGGCCCTCACCGTCACATCCGTTCAGGATGAAGATCAGGTGCCAGGCAATGGGACGAGACCCCCAGGGGTCTGCGTCGTGATCAAACTACGGCATCGGGGGTTTGGGAACGGCGTCCGAGCAGCAGGAGGGTGCAAGCTATGCACCTGCACCGATCGTGACCATGCCCATGCTATGCCCAGAATCTTTACATGCGCCTTCCTCGCCTGATGGGGGATGAGGACTCTCCGTTCAGTGCCTGCGGCACGGTGACAGATGTGTGTACACCGGGCGGAGCAAGGCCACTTGGCCAGTTCATGGGCCCGAGCTTGTCCAACATTAAGCCACGAACACGGAAGTTGCAAGCTACTTAGATTTGGGTAAGGTACAGCAGGCTCGTGTCGTGTCGACGCGGCGGCGACCCCGCCGCGGGCGTTCGAGGTTGAACGCTGCCCGTGGCCCAGAAATTTGCCGATAAGCAACGATTTGGCGAGCGAAAGGCCGCCGATCGTTCAAGGCTGAACGATCCACGCGAGGTCAGTAGCCAGCTCTGGGTCGTCACGACACGAGCCGGCAGGGCGCGGTCCCGAGCTTCTGTGTGCCTCATTGCCGCCGCCTTTCCCGATTTTAGGCCCAGGGTGTGCTGTCTGCAGCTCGGCGCACGGAGGCTTCTTGAAGTCGCCCGCACGGCTTGGTGGGTGTTCACCCAGGCGCCAGGGCATCTGCCCTCTGCGGCTGGCGGCACATATTCCTGAACCAGACAAGCCACAAGCGCGTAGGCGTAATGAGTGGAACTGGTGTGCTGGACGTTTCCCGAGTGAGGCTGCTCTCCGCGACGGTGCCGGGACGCGGGCGACGGTGGTGATAGTGAGCGGCGATGTGACCATCTCGAGTTGTCGCGTTCTGCAATGTCCAGTCGTTCATCCGTGATCATTCTCAAGCGTGGCGCGGTATGGTTCGTTGATTCCCGGCGAAGTTCGATGTCAAACAAAGCCTTTAGTTGGGTCGTTAAGCGGCAGGAAACCACGAGCGGCTTGAGGTGAACAACACACAGTTCTTGACGCTTCGCGTATCCCCACCAGCGCTTCCCCTTAGGTTGTGCTCTCCTTCTCTTTTCGCGCCTCCCTGCCTCCCCCCCTTCAGGCTGGCGGTCGGTACTCCACCTGCGGGTCCGGCCTGGTTCCACCTGCTCAGTTGCGGTTGCCCTCTTCTGCTGGCACACGCTCAGCGGTTTTTGAGGTCCGCGTGCTTTCGGCAGGGCTTCGGCTTGCCCCCATCGCGGTTGCCCTCTTCTGCTGGCACACGCTCAGCGACTTTTGGGGTCCGCGTTCGGTTCGCCCCCACCTTCGGGTTGACCCGTGGCCGCCTCTTTCTAATTATCTGCAGGTGCATTCTGCGCGGTGTCGTGCCAATATATGTCGCTGTGCCCCAGCCTCGGTCATACCGCCCTCTGGACTTCTCCTTGCAGGCCGCGAATCAAACAAATATCCCCACCAGCTCCGTAGCCTCTGGCTCAAGCCGTGTCAGTTCAAGCTCACCCCTGGCTCATGTCGGCGCGCTCGGGCCCGCGCGCGATGGAGACTCCGGCCGCTCGGCGCCGCCGGCAGAGGATCGCGGCCGCCGCCCGCGCCGCAGGCCCCTCCGCCGCCCGCGCCGCAGGCCCCTCCGCCGTTTTCGGCGCCGCGCTCGGCTTGCCGCGGGCCGCGGTGCAGGGCGGGCCCGCGTCGGCCTCCGCCGTGGCCACTGCCGCGGACGTCGCCGCGCGTGCCGCCGCGGCCGCCGGCGCCGCGGGCGCCGTGGCCGCGGCGCTCTCCGTTGTGACGGCCGCCGCCGCTACCGCCGGCGACCCCTCGGCGATCGCCGCGGCGGACGGCGCGGCCGCTGCCTTCGCCGCTGGTGGCGCTGCTGCCGGCGACGCCGCCGCGGCGGGTCTGCCGCGGCGGGTCTGGAAGAGGGCTAGAGCGCCCTGCCGGGCTTGGGTGGCCCCGCGGACGGGGGGGCCCGCAGCAGCAGCAGCAGCAGCAGCAGCAGCGAGAGCAGCAACAGCAGGAACTGCTGCTGCAGCGAAGGGACTGCCTGGACGCCCCCCCCCTCGTATGAGCAGGAGGAGGATAAGCAGGAGCGGGGGCAGGAGGGCTTTGGCAGCGACCTGGCTGCTGACGGCGCGCACCTAGCCGTTGATTTCTCACGCAGGATACAGGGCGGAGCAGCGACAGCAGAAACACCACGTTGCCCCGCACTCGTTCGAGCAGCAGCGGGAGCAGCAGCAGCAGGAGCGGCAGCTGCAGCAGCAGTCCCCTGGTGGATCTCAGTCAGCGCCTGTAGCCTGGAGAAAGCGCCGCCGCCCCCCACCCCTGCCCCGCTCTGGGGGCAGTGCCGCGGTCGAACCAGGAAACGTGGCCGAAAGCGCGCCCATCCTTGGACACTGCCTCGCCGTGGCGGTTGGGAACGCTACAGAAGGCGCGCCGACGCCTGGTGGCCCCGCGCACCAGGCGGCCAAGCAGCTCGCCCCCCCTGCCCCCCTCTCCCAACAGCAGCATCAGGCGCAGCAGCCGCAGGAGAAACAGCAGCCGCAGCCCCCGCGCGGACTCCACTCAGTTCCCGCTGCCGCCACCGCCCCACATTCGTGCAGGGGGGGGACCAGGAGAAGGACCGGGAGGCGGAATCTGGGCGGGAGCCGCCGCGGGAGATTTGGCGGGCGCATGGGCGGCAACGACAGCAGCAGGAGCTGCGACAGCAAGAACACCTTCAGCAACAGTCCCCTGGAGAAGAAACCGCCCCTCATCCGCATGAGCGGCCGCGAGAGTATCATCGGCAGCCGCAGCGGGAACATCATCAGCAGCAGCAGCAACCCCCTGATGGACTTCACTCGGCGCCTGCAACCGTCAGCTGCTACCCCGGCCGTGACTCCGCCCCTGGCCATGACGACAGCTGCCACCCCGGTGCGGCCCCAGTCCCCGCGGCCCAGGACGCGTTCGGATAGCCTTCGGCGGACGAGCAGGACAGCGAGGCCATCCTTCAGCTGGCACTGAGAAGTCCCCTCGTGCCTATTCGCCCCCCATCCCCTGCCAGCGACTGGATGCGAGTGAGCACTTCGCCGAGCGGCGACGGGGCAACCCCGGCAACCCCGCAGAGCATGCTGGAGCCATCTCAGGCGTCAAAACACGGACAGGGGCAGGAACGCACTACCACCCTCGTCGGCTATCCCCCGGCTCAGGCCCCCCACCCTGGCGCCCCCCTCCCTGGCGAGGGCGCGAGCTCGATCGCCGAGGCGTGCCGGCGGCGCGACAGGGGCACGCCCGCGGCGCGTCGGGCTGGAGGTTGGCGGGCGCCCAGCCCTGCCGCCGCCGCCGTCGGCCCCCCCGCCCCCCCGCCGCCCCCAGGACGGAGTCTGGCCCAGGGCGACGCCGACGGCGTCGACTGATTTGACAAGCGACAAACAGGCGGCGCGCACGTTCGCAGCGGCAGCAGCAGCAACAGCCTTGCCCAAGACCGACAGACTCCCCCGCCCGGGCAGGCGGGGCTCGCCGAGCGCCAGCAGCCAGCGCCGCGGGACCCCGACGCTATATGGCCATTCTATAAAGCCAGGGTCCACGACGCCCAGTGGGGGGCCCGCGGGGAGTCCCCAAAAGAGACGATCAGGCGGCTTCAGGTCACCGTGGGCGCGTCGTTCACAATCGTCTGGCGTGCCTTTGCCGGGCGGCGCGCAGATCCTGGCACCGCGCGCGCGCTCGACCCGCGTCGGCGCGACCGGCGAACCTGCGCCGCCATGTCGGCGCGAACAAGGGGCGCCAAGCACCGCCGCGAAGATGAGCGTCGCAGGCCTCTCTGCACCAGCCCCCCGCCCGCGCCCGCGCTCCTCGGCCCCCCCGGCGCGCCCCAGGCTCGCGGCTTGTTATCGGCGACAGCAGCAGCAGCAGCAGCAACAGCAGCAGCAGCAGCAGCCCCCCGTCGGTTGCAGCAGCAGCAGCAGCCCCCCCTGACTGCAGCAGTAGCCCCCCCTGGCCCCCCCTGGCTCGGCGGCCGCAGCAGCAGCGGCCCCCCCTGGCGCTACTGTTTCAGCAGCTTCAGCAGCCGCCCCTGGGCCCCCCCCGGCTGAGCGCAGCTGGCGCGAGTTCTGCCGGGTGTGAGTTCGGCCAGGTGCGAGTCCAGCTGGCGCGAGTCAACGGCTGCAGCAGCAATCGCCCCTGCTCATCACTCTTGCCCGCGCCCCTGGGAGGCCTCGCACCAGCGCTCGCGGCCGTTGGCCACCCCCCCGGAGACGCCGACGTCATCGCGTGGAGTATGACGGTTCGGGGCAAGGACGCGAGCTCGCTGGTGCGAGTTCTGTCTGGCGTGAGCCGCCAGGTGCGAGTCCAGCTGGCGCGAGTCGACGGCTGCAGCAGCATTCGCCCCTGCTCGTCACTCCTGTCTGCGTCCCTGGGAGGTCTTGCATCGGCGCCGGCGGCCGCCGCCCCCCCCCGGAGACGCCGGCGACGACGCGAGTAGCATCTTGCGTCAATGGCTGTTTGGGGCAAGGGTGTGAGTTCAGCTGGCGCGAGTTCTGTCGGGTGCGATTTCAGCCAGGTGCGAGTCCAGCGGGTGCGAGTCAACGGCTACAGTAGCAGTTGCCCCTGCCCATCACTCCTGTCCGCGCCCCTGGGGGGGGCTCGCACCTGCGCCTGTGGCCGCTAGCCCCCCCCCCCCCAGCGACGCCGACGACTGCGCGAGGGGCATCCTGCGCAAATTGCGGTTCGGGGCAGGTTGGCGCGAGTCACCGGCTGCAGCAGCAATCGCCCC